TGTAGTTCAAGCGACATGAAAACCAAGGGATAACAAGGGGTCATCTCATCATCTGCTCAATGCACCAAAGCCAACCTGTGAAAGGGAACTTGTGTAAAGACAAACTAGTGGTGCTAGAGAATGGCACAGACTTTTCCTTATTAGTTATCTATTTCCTTTGGTCTCGGTTAGCTATACGAACATACCACATATTCTTGCCAACTGCCATCTATCGCCGCCCAAAGTTTTTGACATTTTCTTAATTTTTAGATTTCCTAATTGTAGAGTGGAAATATTATTTTAAGATTATTAAAGCACAGTAAAAACTCGTCCTAAATGAAAATTTTCTTCGAAAAATTTGGAGCAGTTTTTAAAAAATTGTCGATTGAGCTCTACTACAAATTCGAAATTTGAAGCTCTTTTTCACAGGTTTTAGTCTACAAAGTTGAATTACGGATAAAGTAAGCAACGACCGTTATGGGCAAAATATGATAAAATATATTCGCTCCCGGCCGGGAGAAACTATTTTCGTCGCCAAACGTGCAACTGATTTTTGCTCTTATCCCTTGGTTCATTTTCAGGCCGAAACAAACGAATAATTCAGATGTGGAAATTTATGCGTATAATTGTTATGTTAAAGCCCTTACGTCATGTAGAAACCCCACACGTTGTGTGTAAATATGTCATGTAAAACACCCTTAAAAACGATTTGGGGTACATAGGCAAAATTTCCCGTGAATATTAAGTTTCATCTTTTCCAATAACATTATTTTAAGGAATGAGAGCTTCTGCTTGTCTATTATCTAGTAAGAATTTGATCAAACATTTCAATTGTATAAAGGTAAAGTCTCTCCTATTAGGCGCCATATGAAAACTATTCTACCTACCACGGTGCCGAGACCATAATAAGTCACATATACAAGCGGGCACGAATACACACCCCCATACCTTTTTAGTGCAGTTTCAGAGGTTAATGGTTCCAAAAGGTACTCACGTCCAATATAGAAGAGTAGTTAGGTACTCTCATTAAGAAATGAAGAAGGAAGTTAAGAGAGGTTTCGAAATGCGCGTCGTTTACGAGCAAGTCGCGGTTTTCGATCTCTTCTGATTCCACTTCCACCGGTGGTTGTGGCGTGGCACAGGATGTCAAATGAGATCAGGAGATACGTATGTATGTTAACACGTCCATTTCATTCACCAAGCAATGAGGAAGGAAATTAAGGTGTTTTTCAAGTGGACAAGTTGAAAAAAATGCCTGTTTCGATATCATGTGTTATATATCATGAACCCGCGATATTAAAGTACTGTCGGGTAGGAATGGTAGCAGAGGTGCTCATGTACGTAGCTAATTACGACTGATCGTTAATTTTATTAAGAAATAAAGAGGAAATTAAGAGAGATTAGAAAATTCGCGTTCCGCGAGAAGTCTTCGCAAAATATTTCGCGCTGGAAATAATCTCTATACTTCCCCAAATTTTCAAAATGAATTCGGAGAAAATGTTTTTTCAAATAGATTGATAAAAGTAAATTAGTGCATTTGTTCCTCGAGAATGTGAATATTGGTTCAATTAATTATTATACTTAAAAAATTTAAACATTTTTATTTAAAAGTACGTGGACATTTAATTTTTTAAGTTATTTTACAATGGAGAGCGTGGGTGAAATACAAAAAAATGTTAAAGTGGGATTCTAAATCCTTCCGTTACTGGCCCCCCACCTTATTACCAGTAATGTTTTATAACGAAATTTTATTGTAACCGATTAACAACAGTTTTCATTTCCCTTCGAATGAAAATCGAGACAAACTAACATAAACAATCCTTTTCTTTGTCCAAATGAAATAAATAGGTGATTGTGAAAACTCTATTCGTGTCTTCCTTCCTAATTATTTCTAAAATTATTTCGAAATATTTTACTTTACAAATAAATAGGGATATCATGAGATTGACGTGAAAAACATTTTTCGTATCTGATAATTTCTAAAACAAAATACATTCTCGCTTTTAGAATGTGTTCTTTAAGACTTCCGTCACGATTGTATGTTCAGAGAACGAGTTTCCTTATCTTCGTGAAATTTCAATCGTCTGAAGAAAACAACGTTACAAATCATCTGGAAACGTAGCTTCTGAGATAACCCTTAATCTGATCTTTGCTCTTATATTACAGGCGGAAATGCTAATACAGCTGTAAAACCTTTCACAATGTGTGAGAGATTACAGGACATGCTAACGAGCATTTACACCTCTGTAATACATAGATCATTAATCGTTACACTTTATATTGTTCACGAGAAGCGTCACAAAAAATGCTTAGACCAATATCATTGCCACACCTTCGCATGAAAGAATACACTTGCCATTCCCTTACTTCGGCGAAGAAAAACATGCCTTCAAAGAAACATCAGGTACAAAATATCGAACCGGGAACGCATTTGAGATAACTGCGCAGGTAGCAGTTACGACACGCTAGGCGAGGTAATGGGCTCCTAGAAAAACAGTCCAATGGAGCACGGCTAAGAAATTGCGCTGTGTGCCAAACGGTACTCTGTTGTAGTGCATTGTCCAGCTGCACTTTGTAATCGATGTTGACAAGTATCGCTACTCAGTGACTAGGGCAATTGTATAAACCAGGAACGTACAAACAACTCGGGAGAAGTATATGCTGATTATCGCCCTAAGATCGTTATTTTGAATCAGCATTAGATTCATTACTTTGTTTAGAATTTGAATCTTTGGAGGTTCCTAATTTTCCATGCAATTTATTAATTCTACTACTTTCATCTTATTTACATATAATATTATTAACTATAAAATATTGTTAATGGAAAATAAATGTAAAACTTCGGAAAATAAAATGTATAAAGTGCTATAGAAAATATTTTAAAATTTACCTAAAACTTTAAACATTTCATGTATTTATAAATCGAACCATAATATCAAGATATGCAAGAAGTTTTTAACCTATTGACTTTGTTTCGATAACGTCCGTGAATTTTTAAGTGCCAACACATTATTGACTAGTGTAACCGAGAACTCTCGCATGTTAAACCTCACGTTCTTAGCTGTTCTTCCATTTCCATATTAAGGGAGGTAATTTTTAACGAAATATGTTTATTTGTATATTTCCTTTTGAGCACAGTATGAGGAACCTTCTTTGAGGCTCTTGTCCTCAAATTTCCAGGCTTTTTCTTTTAAGAGTTACATAACTATCTAGATTTTAACAATGCAGCCCACGTGAGGCGTGTTACATATGACATGAAATTTTAGATGCCTTTTTCTCAAACCCTTGATATTTTTTATATTAAAGTGCAATTCATCACGTCTCTGTAAAATTATCTGTTTTAGAGACCTGATTTATAAAGATTGGTTGCGTGTGAGAACCACAAAAGTAATCTATACTACTGAAATAATATAGGAGAGGATTTTGTGTTAAATAGATCGACATAAACCCCCAAATAGCAAAACAGTAGAACCACGCTAATCCAAACATTCGAATAATCGGGAACAAAATTACGAATGGAGGAAAAAATAAACAAAAATCACCTGATTGTATTAATTTAATTTATACACCGAAAAGCGTGAACACCGTATAAGTCAACCCAATTCTGAATACTGTACGTAGATTACCCGCTAACAGCAGCGACACAAACTGTGTTTCAACCCAAGTGTATTTCTAAACAATTTACAACAACTATGCATGTGATCGGTTATGTACGTTCTATACTCCATTGTTCGCAACATTGCCACTTCCTCATAACGCCACGCGACGTGGTTATTTTCTCACATCGCGCGAAACGATGAATTGTGTCTGATGATCCTATAAATGTTTTTGTATATGCACATTTTTTTCGGATAATCCAAACATTTCCGAATCCGAACAGACCACACGCCACAATTAGTTCGGAATGCCCGTGTTGTACTGTGCAACAAACACCCACTTGTGGATCTCTCTCTTCCTGGTCAGCGAGAATGCGACTGCATGGCGGGCGCAGCGCCCGCCGACGCTGCGGGCGCCGCGGTGTGGCGTCGTCCCCCGTTGTGTGGCGCGCGCAAGTGTAGATTACCATCTCTCGCCTTCCGGCGGCCGAGACGCGCACAAGGCCCACGAGCGCTTGTTTACCTCCGCGTCGCGACGCTCGGCGTGCGCATATGCCACGCCTCACCCCGCCACGTGCCACGGAACACAATTTCTTGAATTCAACTATGGGTTCATTCATTGTTTTGTGTTTCCAGGCGCGTCAACCGTTATGGTCAATAATCCCATTATAGTAGTACATGTTTTGTCATGGAAGGTGGCGGTGTTCTCCAGTGCTAGACGGTGAGATCCGGCGCCGACTTTTACGCCGCCGCGTGTTTGCCAATCCAGATACCATGGCACCAGCAGGGACAAGCTCTAAGCTCCCGAATGGTCTCCCGTGGTAGTGTCGTGCATGTGAGCGGTAGTTTAGCGCATGTATGTATACGTGATTTTAAGTAAGGAGTCAGGATAAGACAAGGAAGAGGAAGGAAAGATCGCACGTAAATTTATGCCTGGTTTGTTAGGGTACTACTCCACTACTGGCCTGGTATTGATAAAAAAAACACGGAAAATTTGCGTCAGAGCAGGGGTCGCTAGAAATTTCCTCCGGACAACGGCTAAAATCCATGCACTTGTTTATATAGTGTCAAAATCCTGTCACAGTGGGGACTCGAACCTTATGACATCCCGACCAAAGGCACTGCAGTGAAATCATCTCATGCATTGAGCTTACTCAAGAGATTTCCTAGAATTTAATTTTTTGTACATCGGCCAATATACGTTGACAGTACCAGAAGTATGTTTTCTTAGAATACCTAAGAAGTAAATATTTCCTGAGAAACATCAACTCCTGGAAAATAAAACTCACCACTTCACCTAAATTATACACTTATTCATTTATTATTCAAAACAAGGTATTTATTTACATTACAAGTTTACACATGACAACTTTAGTAGCCAAACAAATACTTCTGGTACTATTACTAATATCGTAATATTCATTTTGTTTGTTAAGAGTTTTAATCTTTAATATTCATTTGTCCTTCTCTTTTGTTACAGGTAAGGACTGTACTGTTCGCTCCACGTTGTTTCACCGTGGTATGCATGTGTGTACTTTGGCACAACAGCTCTTTAGGAGCTAAGGCCTTCCAGCAGCGTACCGGCCTTGCGGCCATCACCGTGGTATGTATGTACCTAAAATAAAAATGTTTTTTTTCTTTCTTTCTTTTTTATTACGCACATAAATACAACTCAAAATAGAATATTAATTACACATCTTTAGAGAAAAAAATAACTTTCTGGTCTCTGGGTGTCATGACTTTCAGTTCGTTACTATCGGAGTCAATAACACCGAAAAGCTTTTTTAGGATTTTTCAGAACGAACGTTTAGGGATTTAAACTACAAAAACGCTGTTCCTTGATACCTTATAATCATGAAATGTGTTTATACTAAATTTCACGTGTCTACGACTTTCTTTTGCCTCGTGACAGTCCCGGGCATCTACTGCTACCACTGCAGTGCCTATGATTGGGAGGTCCTTGCTTCGAGTTCCGCCTGTGGCATGATTTTCAACACTAGCTAAATACCTTAACAAAGGGACCACGGGCAACGCGCGACCTTTCCATCGCATTCCTTGTGCTATCCTACTCTTAACTTAGACACACTTACACTTACGTGTATTACAGTTCCACACAAACGGGAGACCGGTCGGAAGCTTTTTTCCCGGCTGGAGCGGTGCTCCGATGATGGGAAATACCTGGTTAGGGAAATCCCTGGTAGCCGACGGTAGTTCGTCGTCGGATCTCATCATCCAGAGGGGAAGATCACAGCTAGCAAAAAAATGTGCACTAAACGTACGGTGCCGATACGGTGGCCGAGATCGCTAAGGCAGTGGTGCCGTAGCGATCTCGTACCGAAAGATCGTGGGTCGGAGTCCCGCCTCGGGCATGGTTGTATTGTGTTCGTCTTTTCACCCCCTATCATCACCATCATCATATCAGGGAAGGCAACGGGAAACCACCCTGAATAATTTCTCCCAAGAAAACACGTTATGGGTCACCTAACTTTCGTATATGGAAGATAGGACAAAAGAAGAAGAAACGTACGGGACTAAAGACCTTAGCAGTTGACGCGCCCGGAATCACTTATCAACCAAGCAACCTTCGCGAAAATACGAAACCGACTTCTAATACACGATCTCGCATCACGCTGGCTCCCCGTTACGTCGTCGTTGCAGCGGGCGACGGGCCGCGTCCTCAGTGGGCGGCGGCCGCTGCCAGGGGCTCTCCAGCGGTGACACAACGCGCGAGGAATGAGGATAGAAGGCGACGCGGAGGAGGCGCACGCGGCGACGGGGCGACCGGGGAGGTCTGTCGCGCGACGCTCACCTGTCCGCCGCTGATCTATAACCGGTCCACAAATCATCGGGCGACGCGCGGGGCCGCAACGCACAGATGGCACACTCCACGCCGGCCCCACTCCCGACTCACTCAGCTCTATTTCATTTATTTGCTTTTTTATTGGTCGTTCGATCGATTGTATGTATTTGGCATTTGAAGAATTGAATTCAATTAATGCCTTATTTTACGTGGCGAGCCACAGGCCATGAGGCCTGCTCATCCGTCTGACCGCGCAAATTTCTCTACGCTTCTTTCACCAACTAGCAGAGGAAGGAGGTATTTCTTTCGCGAGAAACAGGCGATTTGAATTTAGCTCAGAGGCGACATTTAGACTCTGCGGGAATCTTTTACATGCAAGAATATCTACTAACATGGGACAGCCGGCTTTACTTCCCCTCCGAAGGAAGGCGTGCGGAGGATTTTTTCACCTTTAAAAATCCACGGCTTCGATCTGAACCCGCCAACTTGGGTATAACAGTCTGATACGCTAACCGTTACACTATCGTCGCGAGCGAAGGTCGAATTAATCCGATTTTTGCCAGCTAGTGGCGTTGGGTATTTTTTTTAAATTTATTATTCATCCCTAGGGCAAGGGAGACATGTGGCGGGCATAACGATTTCTCGTCACCGAACCTACCTTACTTGACCTGGCTGTTCATTTTCTTTCGTCATACAGAAGTAGAATCTGAGGCGATTGAAATGGAAAGCTACAGCTCCGTTTTTGTCTGTGTCGGGAATAGAACCCGGGACCGCCTCACAGAGAGCTAGCACAGCGTCCACTCGAAGGGCTCTCGTGTTTAATTCTTGTTAAATTAATTTTTATTATTTTGGTTACGATTCTATAAGATACATATGGTGTCTCAGTAGTCACGCAACAGCTGATCGTTCATTGTCAGCACAATGGCTACATTTCTCTCGTTATTTAGACTCACAGTCAAAATAATTTTCTGTTCTGCAATCACGCACCACAATCTGTTTTTCGCTCTTTCGCGGCGGTTAGCTGTCAGTTCTTTGATACGTCGTCTATTTCGGCAGAACATTTGAACAATTCCAAGAACGCTAGAATTACCGCTCGAAAATCAGAGAATGGAAAACGAAAAAAGAATGCACGGGGAGAAATCACGTTACGATTCCCGCGGCGGCCTACACGAGTCTCGACGCCCAACCGCAAGCGCCGCGGGCGCCGTCGCATACGATCGGCCTACGCGGCCGCTCCTTGCGTTGCGTAAGCGACGAAGTCCTGGGCGCACGCGTAACGTACGGCGATGGCGGGATCGATGGGGACCCGTTTCGACACGCGCGCCCTCCATTCGTGAACTGGTCCACGAGCGAGCG